CAAGGTAGTAGCATAGAAACAAACTCTAAATATCTCTTTGAGCTCTAAAAAAATGTTCAAATTAAATTATCCCTAATCCCCCGTTAATTAATTCTGTAACATTTTAATGAAAACCATGTCCAAATAGAAATTAACCTTTTCAAAAGAATTAATGAAAGAAAGGGAAAGAAAGTTGAAATTGAAGTCACAAAAATAAAATTGTTTATATGTTAGCTGAATTCGTCATAGAGTAAAATAATAAAAATAATAATCGTCTGCCCAATGAAGACCAACAAGACCATCAGGACGATTCTCCTAAGTCATAACGAGTTCAGAGAGGTCGGCGGAAGGATACTTGGTGAGGCCATCGGTAAGCCTCTTTTATACAAAGCTTTTTAATAGTGCATGCGTCCATGGCCTACGGTTGCCGGCGCCCCTGGTAAGTTTAACTGTGGCGCCCCTTTTAAGAATAATCATACATTTTTGCAAGAAAAAAATATAGGGGCTAGGTTTTAGTTTCATTAAAAGAAAAAAAAAATCAATGAGCAATAATAATATTGTCTTTATAAAATTGTATTTGGAAAGTATGAACAATTAGCCTACAGATTAAATTTTTTTCCAGCATTTAGATCAGCAAATCCTTTTATTGCACTTTCTAGTTTTCTTCCATGTCGCCCACATGCAACGCCTTTTCCTATTTTGGAAGATCGTTGATAGCGCCCTAAGCACTTTGCGCCCCGGGAAACTGCCTGACTTGCCGGTACCTAGAGCCAGCACTTCATGTATCCATCCGCCACCAATTGTCATATTGTATTTGAAATGCTTTAGCGCATGTATCCATGACATTGTCCTATTGTAACTGAAAGTCTTTAGTGTATGTATCCATGACATTGTCCTATTGTAACTGAAAGTCTTTAGTGTATGTATCCATGACATTGTCCTATTGTAACTGAAAGTCTTTAGTGTATGTATCCATGACATTGTCCTATTGTAACTGAAAGTCTTTAGTGCATGTATCCATGACATTGTCCTATTGTAACTGAAAGTCTTTAGTGCATGTATCCATGACATTGTCCTATTGTAACTGAAAGTCTTTAGTGTATGTATCCATGACATTGTCCTATTGTAACTGAAAGTCTTTAGTGCATGACATTGTCCTATTGTAACTGAAAGTCTTTAGTGCATGTATCCATGACATTGTCCTATTGTAACTGAAAGTCTTTAGTGTATGTATCCATGACATTGTCCTATTGTAACTGAAAGTCTTTAGTGCATGTATCCATGACATTGTCCTATTGTAACTGAAAGTCTTTAGTGTATGTATCCATGACATTGTCCTATTGTAACTGAAAGTCTTTAGTGTATGTATCCATGACATTGTCCTATTGTAACTGAAATTCTTTAGTGCATGCATTCATTCACCTCCCATACATTAAGTGGTTGGAAATATTCAGTGCATGTATCCATCCGCCTCAGAATGACATTTATCTGAGGTAGTTGGAATGTTTTAGTGCATCTATCCATTGGCCTCCTCCAAATGACATTACCCTAATATAGCTGGAAATCTTTCTGGCCACATTATGAAGCCTATTGGGATTGTTATTTAATGAAGAGTTAAATACTTCACATTCATTAGATGCGTTTCTTTATAACTTTATAACTGATACATAGTTCATTAGAAAGTTGACAAACATTTCCTAACAATACACTTTCAATAAAACTGTGCTGATGCGTTCAAGGTCTCCTCCGAGTGATAACGGCGACAGGAACAAAATTATTCTCCTACATCATCCTCATAATCTTATGACCAAACATGTTTCCCTTAAAAACCGCGCCATTTCCCTTGCCGACCCTGACACCCACAACATTTTATCAGCTCCACCTGCCATTCTGTTCAGAAAAGATATGAACCGGCGAGATCTCCTTGTGCCGAGCCACACCCGTTCTACCCCTCCCAATGTGGGGACCAAGCCAAATGGACGCAGCCAATGTAAGACTTGCCATTTTGTCGTCAAGCATCAACATATTCCCTCCATAAGGGTAGTTTTCGATTAGGGTCGGTTTCCTTTGCACTAGCAGCAAAGATATTGAGTTTTCTCATTTAGAGAACAAACTAATTCAGACTTATGGGACATTGACACTACATGGTATGACTGTCATGTTCTCCTACAATCGTTAACCATTTTCTCCGGCCCATTTTTGTTACAAACAATCTGCTCCCGTCCCCTATATCTTATACTAACTTTCTTACCTACAAATGGTCTATTACATCCCTATTGCTTTCCTATTGGATGGTACATTACAGCTAATGCTTATATTGTTTTCACAATTTTTTTGTCGCTGAAGAAGGCTTCTTGCCGACACATTTGTTTTTCCGTTGCTTCCTCTTTTCAGTTTTTCGTATACTTCACTTATTACCATCCACTTAACAAGATTGCAGACTCTCCCCTTTATTATCTTATACAGAGTAAAGAAGTTTAGTATCTAGCAATGGCAGTACGATTTTAAGATGCTTTTTTTTTTTTTTTTTTTTTTCATCCCAAAACAGAACCTTGCTTGACCTTTACCTTAGCTGGAATCATTTATTTTTTTTTTTTTTTTTTTTTTTTTTTTTTGTTTTTGTTTTTTTTTTTTTTTTTTTTTTTTTTGCAGCCCAAAACAGAACCTTGCTTGACCTTGACCTTAGCTGGAATCATTTAAGACGTTGTGGTGCCATTGGCATTGCTCGTGGGTTACAGGTTCGTTATAAAGCCATTATGTGCACTAGCAACGGGTAGGTCTTTATATTATGTATATGTTATTATGTATGAGAAATAAGTCGGGAAAATATAATATATTTTTAATCATGGTTTGTAGATTTTATTTAAAATATCTCATTATTTTTTAAATATTTTTTTGCATTATGTATTTTTATATTTATTAAAATTTGTCAACATTTTAGTCTGGCTTCAAAACAAAACATTTTTTTTTATTGTTATAGCTTTCTTCCAATACTTAACTCAAGTCGCACATTGTATGAATCAATTAGTCTAATGTACTAGCAGGTCAACCATGTTTGAAACTCATACCTTTCATGTGAACATCAATTGTTGTAGAGACTTATAGTTTTGTACGACCGATGTTCCATGTGTTGCAGGCCAATACGTCACTTCTCAACGTCAACCTATCGTGGAATGGGTTCGGATTCGAAGGCTGTGTGGCCATCGGCGACATGCTGTGTAAGAACTGCACCATAACGGAACTGGACATTTCCTGCAACAGAATCAATCCGCCGGCACTGCTGGAGATGTTGAGAGGCATCGCCTCGAACAAGACGCTACGCATACTCAAAGTAAACTTATTTTAGACGTGTTACATGGACTGAAAATATTTTACAAACCGCAAGTTATATTTGTAGCATTTTTCAGAGTTTTAGATATTTATTGAGTGGTTCTGAAAATAAAGTACAAATACACAAGCAGGAACCCCAACATATACCTTTCTCATATTAGACTACATGCTGGTCTCTTTCTTGGGACATAATGTCAAAGTAGTGTTCAATCATATATATGTTTAAATAAAAAATTAATAAACTTTTGTGGGCTGTAGTTACTAAAGAAATCCCCCAAGCGTTTGGTAATCCGTTTTATATCAAAATGTGTCTCGGTAAAGACAGTACTCAAAATGGACTGTAAACTACATTGTCATGTTGAATTTCTCACCGCCTGATCATGTGACATTACACATTAATAACTATAAGAATAAGCCCTCCAAAATTTGATTAAATAAAGTTTTAATGGAATTCATTTCCGTATAGATTTCTCTGTTCTATAAGCTAGTCCGGTTTTTATTTTTATTTACTAAGTGTTCTTATAGCTAATGAATACCTGATCCTGGGGTGTTAATTCTTATGGTCAAATCAGCCTAGATCACATAATATCCATTAGGTCTTTTAGACTAAGCGCCTATTGTCTTAAACCCTTAATACTCCCGAGCAATCAATGAACATATAATAAGATAAAATTGTGGATAAACTTCCTAAGCAAATGAATGCCTTATGCAATTGATTTTCTAGCAATAAATATAATCCATTTAAAGAGATTTGAATGCCCTGTGTTATCTTTAATCTATTAAAATGGCTTAGAAATGTGTTTAAATTCTTCTAAAAACGATGTGACACAGCTGGGAAACAACCCTATTACAGCCGGGTTCTCAAGCATCATTCTGGCTGTTGTGAAGAAACATAAACACAGTGCCCTAGAGAATATTGACTTAGAGGTAAGAAGTGGTCACACGTTTTTACAAAGAGATGCCGTTGCTCAAAGTTCAGTACATTCGCAGCTTAAGTTATGTTGGGTGGAAAAACGAATTAAAAACAAAAGCTTATTTTTTTGTCTTACTGCACATAAATGGGAATATAGCTCCAAAATGAAACCTCTGGAGTGATGCACACGGCTCTGACATTGTCGCAAGCAAAGAAAAATAATCATCTTTTTAAATAAATAACAAACATTGAGATACCAATTCAACATAGCCGCTAACACAATTTATTAGCCCCTGATTTAATTTATTTTGATGTGTAACGTTCTGAAAGATGAATTTTTTAAAAAAATAACCAAGTGTCAAAAGTCACTATTAGAGAAAGAAGTTTAAAAAATATTTTTATTGTAACTTTAAAGCAAAAAAAGTTTAATTTGTAGGGTGTTGTTGTAAACAAGGAATTTGTTGCTCTACTGGGAGAGCTCCAACGAGAGCGATTCTTCATTGTGAAGTATGAAGTGTCACTGCCAGTGAAGAAGATGTCACGGGATGAGATGCGGGAAAAGATCGGTCTACCCTGTGCCTACAATGTGGACCCCCTGAAGCTGCTGTATCTTCTTAAAGTAAGACTGCACTTCTTTGTGCATCTGGATTAATTAAGATAAAGGAAGACCTGTTGTTTGTACAACATCTGGATTAATTTTGATGGGTCTTAACATTAAATGTGTACTCGAAACGCAGGGGAAATAAAATATTTATCAAATCATTTATTTTATCGTCAGGAGAAAATGAGAGCCTCTGATTTTTTCTATAAAATTAACAAAGACCACGACGAGGGGTTACAGAAAAGTGAACTGTACTCTTTATTTAATGTAAGTGTTTTTTTCGAAAATCCTTTTTTTTCTTTTTCACAATATAACAAATACTAAAACGTATCAAGTCATTGGTAAAAAGCACGTAGAAATTATGTTAGAATTTCACTTATACTTAGTTATATGAATAAATACAAAGCGGTGCCTGTAGAGTGCCAGTTCGACTTTTTAATTTTATTTTAAAATATGATTAAACGTTTCTCTAAGATGTTTCAATTGAATCATACGTTAAGCGTGTCCCACCGTTGTCCCACCGTTGCCCCACCGCTGTCCCGACGTTGTTTCATGGGCTAAGTAAATTGTTATGGCTCACTTTTAAAAAAAAAAAAGAAAAGAAATTCTTCATCCATTGTGATATGGTTTATGAGAATTAAAATTATTTACCTTTAAATAACTTAGTCGAATGGAACTGGCGAAACTGAACAAGAGGTTTTCTTTATTTTAGGAAGCGGGTCTTCCAGTGACCGGAAGTGTAGTGGACAAGATTATGGAGTTTATGGACACCAATGACGATGGGACAATTGACCTCAGGTGCGTCAGAATGTGTACAAAAAATTCTCTAATGCATGAGGAGATTTGAGTTTTACAATATTCAAAGATAGCCCGCCAGGTGGCGCATTGTATCGGCTGGTCAAGTTAGATAGGATGCCAACTCATTTTTGAATGCAACAATATTTCGCCGTTAGAGTCGGCATACTTCACTGAGAGTGACCATGGCATTTGTTAACTAAAATGGCATTTGTTAACTAAAATGTCATTTGTTAACTAAAATGACATTTGTTAACTAAAATGGCATTTGTTAACTAAAATGGCTTTTGTTAACTAAAATGGCATTTGTTAACTAAAATGGCTTTTGTTAACTAAAATGGCATTTGTGAACAGAAATGGCATTTGTGAACTAAAATGGCTTTTGTTAACTAAAATGGCATTTGTTAACTAAAATGGCTTTTGTTAACTAAAATGGCATTTGTGAGCAGAAATGGCATTTGTGAACTAAAATGACATTTACACCAATTTGGGAGCTAAAATGGCATTTGTGAACAAACATGGCATTTAACCCAATCTGTGAACTAAAATGGCATTTGTGAACTTAAATAGCATTTACCCCAATTTGGGAACTAAAAGGGAATTTGTCGACTAAAATGACATTTGTTAAATAAAATGACATTTGTTAAATAAAATGACATTTGTTAAATAAAATGACATTTGTTAAATAAAATGACATTTGTGAAATAAAATGACATTTGTTAAATAAAATGACATTTGCGAACTATAAAAACACTTTGATAATAAAAGTTCATTAAGCGTATTTTATTTACATCAAGTTTTGCTTTCTTTCCACGTTGAAAAAAAATGAAGTTCAGATTGTATAAATATAATTCTTAACACTAATAGCCTTCTCCAAATGTGACGTCATCAGGGAATTCCTTTTAGGGGACAAGCGCATCAAGACCATTTCTCGGAAACAGCTACGGGGCGATCAAGAGCGGAAAGGCCAGGACACAAACTACATCAAGTACTCCAGGACATTTCAGAAGGCCCACATCGACCCCATCACTAACGCACTGAAGGTGAAGCCTTGAGTAACAGTGTAGGATGACGAACGGCAAACTATATTTGTTCAGAACATCCTTTCAGTTATCTACACACACACACACAAACTAGTTTAATATTTTGATTTGGTTTTATTTGGTTTATCTTTTCTTTCTTTTTTTTATTTCCGTTTTAATACCCCACCAATGGCGTCTGCGGTCAGCCGGATCGATGGTCGGGTCATTTCCTTAGGGCTGACCTTCTCCAAAAGTTTACCTGCATTACTTGGCTCACGGGTCCATTCTACATGCCGAAGATCGAACCAGGCACTGGCTCCATGCAAACGTTGTTATTGCGTTAGTAGGGATTAACCGGGTGCAGTTTATTTTTAGAATGGGTCTTGGTATTTTAAGAAGATATCCGGTGGCTCAAAGCGTTAACAAATAGTTAACTTTTCATTTTTGTTATAACATATGCCGGCCTTTAATCAATAGGCCTAGGGACAGTGCTACGCTATACCCGTGGACCTGTTTTCATTAACATATTAGTCACCTCCCTCTACAAAAACAATATGCCTTTTTACCTGAGTTGAACCATCAGGTTTGAGACTCGTTGCGTTTCACTCAGTACTATATATATAAAACACGTGGAATTTGGGGAAGGGCAGTTTTGAAGAGGAAGTACCAGAAGCAAAACATATATAAATGAGGTGACAGCAAATAACTCCTTTTCAAAACATAATTGTAAAATATTTCCTTTTCAAATATTATAATGTATGCGGTACATGACGTTTTGGCGCAGGACATTTTGGCGCCATTTAAAATACCTTTTTTAAAAGGGCGTGACCTTGTATGTGAGCCATTCATTCGTGGAAACCAGCCGCCTGTAAAATGCAGAAAATACGTCGTAGCAGATACCAGAATCAGGACAATTGTTGAGAGTCGCAGAGGACGAAACGTTATCGAGTATCTTAGAGGACTTGCCCATAATTTTTTGATGGACTAATAGACACGGACTTTCGGAAGACTTATTAGAGGTACAAGATTAGATAGGATTCATTAACTATTATTAAGTTTTTATAAGTTGATTATTTTGCATTTGCTAAAGGCAATATATTGCATGGGACTAGCAACTCGTTAAATGTTTCTTTATTTATATATTTTGCATTCTCTTTATTAAAAGTTTATAAACGTTAAGTTGAATAAAAAGTTATTTTTAAATGGCACCAAAATGTTCTGCGCCAAAACGGCTCTGTGCCAAAACTGCAGCGCCAAAAAGTCCTGGTTCGTAATGTATGTGCTTCCGAAGTGATGAATCAAGGGTAAAAAAAATGGCGGTAAAACAGAACGGGTGGGCGGGAGGGGGGAGGGAGGCATGCAAGCGTTGTTGAAAGAAGAGCAAGGAGCAAGTTTAAGAACAGCAGCCTTCAATGTTAACATCAGGAGTACCACCGACACTGCTGGGAATCATGGGCGCCCGCAGGTAGTGTCAAGGTGGGGCCTTTGCCCCCCCCCCCCTGGATTGATTGGATAAAAAATTTTTGACAAAAATAGACAAAAAATGTATTAAAGTAAAGAGAAAATAAAGAGAAAGTAACTAAGNCCCCCCCCCGGAAAGTTAATCGATTTTTTTGCCCCCCCCCCTAGAAAGTTTTCTGCGGGGCGCCCATGCTGGGAATATTATGTCATCCTCAACTGTACACAGTATGGTGTTAGAAGTAGTTAGTTATTTGGATTCACCGTTAAAGTCATCGTGGTCATTGAAAAGCCTACAAAGCCTCGAACTCTACTTGTAATTAAGTACAAAATATTTTAGTCCTTCTTAATTAAGTTGTGTTTTGTGTTTTCAGGCAAGCTTTCATTAGAATATTAAAATGTTGTTTTTATGGTTAATTTCATGAAGTAAAATTATCTCAAGTAAGCTTCTGTAAATTTTTATAATCATACAACGTTTGTTTTAGCAGTCAAACTTAGATTTTCTTTCGTAATCACTTCAGGTTGACCTCAGCTCCTCACCCAGACGCCAGCCGAGACGACCATCTGATGACAAAACTCCAGTGGACGCAGTGTTAGACGAGAGCTTGTTGAATCTACCATAGATAGTATCTACATGTTGTTGCTTTTTAAAAATTATAACAACAATTAATATCAAACTTCGAATAGATTATTTTATAAAAAGTTTAGACTTAAATTATAAGTAGACTGCGGAACACCACTTAGGTTTGCTTGCTTGCTTGAGCATTGCATTTACACGACGCATGGTCTAATTTATGGTTGTAGTGGAAGAGTCATTAATTTCTTTTGGACGGATTTTCTGTAAGCTCATAAAAAATTAGACTAATACTTTTTGAATAATTGATATTAACTTCGCTTTTTTTTCACGTGTTTCTTTCATTTCTGTCTGATTGTGTGACAACATCTTCGGACGGCTAATTGACCCAGTTCTCGTAAGTCTATCGAACTGGCACATAGACCTCGTTGTCGATGACAACACATTCTTTCAAAATTTCAGCACAAACCGCAACCACACATAAATCATTCCACCCCCACCCCCCCTGTTTTTCAAGGAGAAGATAAAAGAAACATGATGCCACTGATTTCACGAAATAAAATTCCTGATAACTGCGCTAGATGAGATTTTAAAAAAAATAAAATATCTCAATTGCATTTGGTGCGTCATATTTTCTTTCTTTTTTTTTCCAGAAAATGTTGATGAAATAAATCTACTGCGTAAAATCGGACGTGTCATTAGAATATTGATATAAAATAAAGTAATGAAAAATGACGGTAAAGGATTTTGATGAAAAGCTTTGTTTTAAAGGTTGTTTAAGTTAAAGTTAATTGAACAATTTCAGACTACCATGTCGTAAAAAGGCGAATCTTTGAACTATTTCAGACTACCATGTCGTAAAAAGGCGAATCTTTGAACTATTTCAGACTACCATGTCGTAAAAAGGCGAATCTTTGAACTATTTCAGACTACCATGTCGTAAAAAGGCGAATCTGTATAAACAATATTGATTTGAGCATGTAATCTTTTAGCTCGCTACGTTAAGGTCAGTGCAGTCCACATTTTTTGTAGTCTCACGGCATCTTAGTGAATTTTAGATACTTTCTGTTATTTATTTTATTCTTCACACCACAACTTTGAGCCCCATTTAAACATCTGAGCCCCCCCCCCCTGCGAAAGTTGAAGGGCCCACGGGACTTCTTTGGGTAAGGTCATTTAGCTAAGGGCCTCACCATGTATTATAACAACCCTTATTTAAAGAATAAGAGTGTGTCCTGACCAGTTTCTTGCGAATGAAGGAGGGGGCGAAGGTTGATCCTGCAATCGTAATTTTCCCTGGTAAATGTGTTTATTAAAATATACTTTTTTAGGAAGAAGGCACCTCCATTGAGGTTTTGAGGTGGGTGCAGCCTTTGCTTGACACGGCCCTGCTACCTACAGAAAGTGATTTCATGCTGTGTACCCACAATGTGAAGGTCACGGGCAGTGCAGTCTCAACGTTCTGTGCTTAACAACTCCTTACAAATGTATCCATTCCTGGATAAAACAACTGACTTAACATCATTATATGTGGCTCTTTTCAAACTTATTCAACTTGAACCACAGTCTAAACATTTTTAAATTTGTGATCATACAAAAATGTGTTCAACTTCTAATGAAAACAGTTTAAACCACAGCCATGATTTCATTTCAATAATTGATTCCTATATTAGGGTATATTATTTTTTTTAATACTGTAATGTCAAAAGTTTATTCTAATGCTTTTTTTAAAGCTAAATTTTCCTCCTTAAAATAATTATAAACATGAATTTTATTTGCAAAAATTTCTTAAGTAATATCATTTAAAAAAAAAAAAAACATTTCGAGCAATGCTTTATATTTTTAATTCAGTTTTCCGATCCATCAGAAGGAGCGATTTTAGTAAGGTTAGAATCAGACTGATGAAGGAGCAAAATTTTCCTCCTTAAAATAATTAAAAAAATGAATTTTATTTGCAAAAATTTCTTAAGTAATATCATTTAAAAAAAAAAAAAAACATTTCGAGCAATGCTTTATATTTTTAATTCAGTTTTCCGATCCATCAGAAGGAGCGATTTTAGTAAAGTTAGAATCAGACTGTTGAAGGAGCAGAAACTGTGTCAGTGGCGTATCAGGAAGCTTGACAGCCGCTGGCTTATCATCTCGGCCACTCAGAGCAATATGGCTGGTGTTTGTTAGACGATAACTGCTCGGGTCTACGACGGGTGCTGAAGCATTCAATGGAATAGTGTCCCAGTGGATGTCCACCTTTTTACCCAGCACATCCTCAAATTTTCCGCTGAGAGTGAAGATATATCTGGCGTCGTTGGCAAGGTCGTCGATGCGGTAAGCAGCGTCGGAGTAAGCGTTTTTCATTTCGTACCACATCCACGGTCTGCTGTTGGTGTCGCTCTCTCGTTTGAGTGCAGTGTAGAAAGGTACTTTGCTGTCTCCGAACCTGTAATTGACTGTCGGGCGGTCGCCGCTACCGTGATACTGGTAGTGGTAATTGGTGTTGGGGTCGTTAGGACCACCTCCCCAACGCAAAAATCCTTGAAGCTCAGTTGAAAATTTTGCTACGATGGTCGCAGTGTAGGTCACGGTCGTGCGCGCCTTAGATAAGATCAGATCCCACTTTACGGCTGAGTAAGGCTTGAGGGTTTTGGACGAGCTGACGGTGAACGTGTTGGACTGTTGGCTGTTGGTCTCATCTGTTACACTCGTTTCAGACTCGTAGTTGAATTTGTAGGACGCTGAGACTCCGGCACCACCGGTGGCGGAGGGAGGTGTGTAGCTGACCGTTAGACCCAATTCGTGGCTGTTTTTCCAAGAGCTCGTCGTCGTGTGAGTCACACTTCTCACGCTTGTCTCTGATCTCTGAATGCTTTTTGTAACTTCCGTATTATCATTGTTATAAATGGTCCCACTGTCGATGGACTCCGGCGTCAGATCCTCTATGACTGGATCACCATATTTGATGTCTTTCATGGAAAAGCCCCAGTCGCCGTATGCCATAGCGAGGCGCTGCTCGTTCTTGTACCCCTGGCACGCCCCACTTTTGTCAGCACGCCAAGTGTCACCGTCACGTCTGAAATCTTCACCCACGTAAAGAGCTCTGCACCCGGCGCACCAGCCGTAACCCAGGTAATGTGCTATGACAGCGATGTCTGACATAGTTGTGTCCATGACACGGGACTTGACCTTGTAGAGCTCGTCCAGATCTTCTGGCTTGTCAGCCATCTTGCAACATTTCAGGGTCTCCAGGCAATATAGGTTGTCACAAGTTCCTCGGTATAGTCCTGCTACTAAGTAATCATCCTTGCACTTGCACAAACCTTTATCATCAAAGCAAACACTGATATCCTCATCGTAGCACTGCCCGTAGTAATTCGGATGGTCGGCGGGTTTTGTGCATCTACCCTCTTCTATGTTGTGAAGCAGACCAGGGAATTGTCCTGTTCTGTACAGACCTTGAAGGAAATAGCCAGCCGGGCAATTGGCCCACACGTTGTTGTTGTCAAACAGTTTCGTCCAATCCGCAAAGACCGTCTGCGTTCTAGAGCTAGTCCATGGGGAGTTCGGGGAGCAGCACTGGGCACCTTCTATCAGACCTAACCCGTCATTATTTCCGCTCTGTCTTGCACTGCGCTCGAAACCTTGTATATAGGTGTTAGCTCTGTTACATTGGGAATGTCCTTCTTTGTCAAAGCTCAGGGTCCAGTCGGAAATCGAGCACGCGGTTTGACCACCTATAAGTAGGTTTAAAAAAATGAGCAAGCCAAGACCAATCTCCTTCATGGTCAGTGTGTCCTATGTACCACAACCTGAAGACACAATTTAAAACAAATTTACTGTTTTACACTCTATCGATTTTACTTATCAACTTCGATGAGACACTAAAGAAGAAGACGAAATTCAATAATCAAAGTTGTTGACGGGCTGGTGTAAAGTGGGTATGTGGAACTGAGTGGGCTGATAGAAGTGGGTATGTGGCACTGAGTGGGCTGATAGAAGTGGGTTTGTGGCACTGAGTGGGCTGATAGAAGTGGGTTTGTGGCACTGAGTGGGCTGATAGAAGTGGGTTTGTGGCACTGAGTGGGCTGATAGAAGTGGGTATGTGGCACTGAGTGGGCTGATAGAAGTGGGTTTGTGGCACTGAGTGGGCTGATAGAAGTGGGTATGTGGCACTGAGTGGGCTGATAGAAGTGGGTTTGTGGCACTGAGTGGGCTGATAGAAGTTGGTATGTGGCACTGAGTGGGCTGATAGAAGTGGGTATGTGGCACTAAGAGAGCTGATAGAAGTGGGTATGTGGCACTGAGTGGGCTGATAGACGTGGGTATGTGGCACTAAGAGAGCTGATAGAAGTGGGTATGTGGCACTGAGTGTGCGGATGGAAGGGGCTATGTGGCACTCTGTGGGCTGATAGAAGTGGGTATGATGCGGTGAGTACACTTGATACATTTATATAAAATCCGTTTTCTAGATTGCTTTGCTGAGGTTTAACTTTTCATTCAGTCAACGTCCTCATCTGTTGGTTTCTATTTGAAATAAAGTGTTGCAATTTCCTGCACCATGTCAATAACTGACAACTTGTGTGACAACAAAGAATAATGATAATGTCAACAATATTTTAATAATTACTAATGTTTTATTTAAAGTTTTCTATTGTGGTGATTTCGTTGTTGTTGTTGTTAAATATATATTCAAACGCGCCTCCCCCCCCCCTCACAAATATTTGGAGAATAAAATCTATGAATACATTTCAATGGACGAGAACTAACTTAGGGCCTTCAGGGCAGAACGTGAGAACTGGATGGTATTAATTATGTGATTATGTTAATTATGAGATAGGTCAGGGGTCTCCAAACTTTTCAGCCCGAGGGCCGCGACTAAAACTGTAGCTGGAGGTCTTTGATGATCTCGCATGCAAATGACGTGGGGAACTCCGCTGTTGCTTCAGCCATGACGACCGTCCACTGCTGAAAATGTGTCAAGTTGTTGGCCTGTACCTGTTCCAGAAACAAGACGAGTTTGGATCTAAATGCCTTTAGGTGGTTGTATAGATGAGAAACTAGATTTTCCTCTCATTGTAGTTTTAGGTTCAGAAAATTTAAATGACTAGCTAGTCTACAGCAAAGACCAATTTTATACCCACTGTTCATCAGACACTAATGACTGTGGCTTGCCTTTACTTTCCAGGAAGTCACCTATTTCCTTTCTTAACTTAAATACTCTGCTCAGAACTTTCTCACAACTTAGCCATCTTATTGCTGCTTTGCAATATGGTAAATCTTGAGATTCAGTGTCTGTATCTTTCAACAGGTCTCTGAACTGCCTATGGTTGAGCTTTTGTGGTCTTATTTAATTCACCATCTTCAGCACAGGATTCAGTACACTGCTAATGTCCACATATTTAGCACACAAAGCTTGCTGGTGAATAATACAGTGCAGGAACATTGGTTGTAGAATATTTTTTTTCTCATTACACATCTGCTTCACTTGTCCAACCAAGCCTTTCTTTAAGCCACTCATGGTCCTTCCTCCATCAACAGTCCAAGTTATAATCAGCAAATGTTTTTTTTTTCAACTAATGAATATATCCTCTCCGGTAACAGTGTCGCACTAGCTATGTAAGGAAGCCAGTTCTTGTGTTATGTTCATGTCTTCATCCACACCTATAATGAACACAAGCAGTTGTGAGGTGGAACAGCTGTCCAGCGACTCATCCATTGCAATTGAAAAATTGCGAAACTTGCTTGCATTTTTCGCTATTTAAGTCACACTGTTTTCCCCATGTCTGCGGGCAATGGTATTTGCACACAAAGCTACATTTTAAAATTGTTTTGACTTTTCTGGGCAAAGTTCCTCAGCCACCACAAACAAACAAAAAACACGCACAAAAATTCCTTCACCACTTCACCATCTGTAAACGGTTTGCCTCATTTAGCAAGGACGTAGGCAACTTTATAACTGGCTTTACTTAAGGATTCATTTCAATTTTAATTTTAATAGTGAATTAAAATATCAAATCCCATATACTTGAGTAAGACGAGGAAAAAAAAAAGGGGGGGGGGGAATCGTCTTTTTTATTCACCCGCCCCGGGGGCACTTTTTCTATATATTAATTGGCACCATTTTCCGGCTTCACCCCAGGTGCAGCATTTCCACCGCAGTAAACAAACAACAGTCAAAACTGAATCAAATCAAACTAGCACTTAAGTGAAAAGTAGTATCCGAGAGGTCATCAAAGGAATGATGAATACCTGAATTTGGCATAAGCGCCGGGAATCTAAACAATATAAGAACCACTGAATCAGCACATTGAAGATACCGTTGACGAAATATTACTGTAATATTGCTACTACTGAGTACTATTGAAGCGATATCTAGCTAGTTCATTTGTGAAAAAAAATTGCAACGTTATGACAATAATTCCTACACAACGTTGCGTGATATTTTTACAGCATTGGAGACATGCTATTTTAGGAACTACTGCGCACGTCTATTTTAATACAGTAAAATCATAACAGCCACGTAAGTGGCGACTGATCTTGGCAGTCTCGAAGGGAATTTCCGTTTCTTTCCGTAGACAAAAAGGTCTCCACGGGTCGGATGAGAGGGGCCTTGCGGGCCGAATGCGGCCCGCGGTCCGTAGTTTGGAGATCCTTGAGATAGAGAAAACATCCAAATACTGTTTCTCAATTCAAAATTTCAATTGTGCAGTTTCCCATTAAACAAGAAAATAGTGTTAAGTCTATTCAAAGTTGATATTGTGCAGTTTACCACTTACCTGTTATGATAAAAAAATTGCTTGCTGCGAGCCGATCTCAGGTTAAATGTATCAGAGCAGCACCGCGGCGTGGCGATGAAATACCCACAGGACCCGATAATTAACTTTGAGTTCACTGTAGACAAGTGACACTTTCTAATTAACTTAGAAAATAATCAACTGATTTATAGTTTGGCTGTTTTTAGCAAGGTATAGTCGCTTGTTCGATTTGTACCACAACTACGAAATAAAAACGTGTAATTTTTCCAAATGCTTTCAAGAGCGCAAGTTGTTAATTTGGGATTCAACCTTGCCAATGTTGATTAAGGTCTGAATTTTTCAAAGACATGAATAATGACATAAACAAATGCATAACACACCATGCAGATTTCATTTGTTTGAAAGAAATTCAGGTCATATTAAACCTGGATCTCTACACACATGTTTTGCACAAGGGTACACACGTGTGTTTTGCAATGTTCAAAGGTTACATAAGAAACAGCACTTGAGCCAATATAATTTGTAGTTATTTAAGGATACGTGAGGATCATCTTCTTAGGAACAGAAACTGGGAACAATGAGAGTATCAAGATGTTTATCCGTCGCACCTCAACCCCCCGAATCTCGGTGGCACTTTCAACTAAGGGCTTTCCCCTAAAATAACTGTCACGAGATGTGCAAAACCTGCAAAATATTATTTTAATTCAGCGAAGGTCTTTGAAACTATGGCTCTTGCCACGAAGACTGGGTGCAAATGAAAGTTTTTGTTACAATGACACAAGCTTTGTAGACATAGACACGCGTATAATACACCTATTTTTTTATAAAATAATTTGCAATGGATGAAACAGTGCATTAGAATTTTTTATTATTTCAATTCTTTTTTTGTGTGCATATTAATAGTATTTGTAAATGAAACTTATGTTCAGAACAGCAAGCAACAAATCAACTTGGGTTCTGGGGGGGGGGGGGGGGTGTGGCTTCCATAAAAATAAAAAAGGTATGGGTTAAATATTAATTTGGAAACGAATTGTAACAAAAAATAAAAATGCGTCTTGTNCGGGGGGGGGGGGTTATTTTCTGTTGTTGTTGTAATTACCCCTGCAAGTGGATCGATTCATTAACACCTGACACACCACGTTGACGTGCAACTGTCTGCAATATCGATACTGTCATTCGCTATCGATACTGTTGTTGGTTTTCGATACTGTCATTCGCTTTCAGTACTGTCATGCGTTATCGATACTCTCATTCGTTATTGATACTGTCATTCGCTATCAATACTGTCATTTGCTTTCAGTTCTGTCATTCGCTATCTATGCTGTCATTCCGTTATCGATACTGCCAATGGTCATCGATACTGTCATTCGTTACCTTTATGGTCATTCGCTATCGATACCGTCATTCTATATCGCTGCTGTCATTTGTCATCGCTACGATAATTTGTCATCGATAGTGTCTTTGACTATCAATACGATCTTTCGGTTTGTTAATTTAGATATGTGTTGTTCATTAAATTTTTTGTTTGTTTTATTTGTTTTGTTTGTTATGTTTGTTTTGTTATTTGCTTAAGACCTTCAGCTAAAAAATGTCTGACCTTGTCAGTGAACTAAATTAGAGTGAAATGCTGATCTAATCTTAAAGAGTATCGAAAATGTATTGAATTTTATAATGGGCTTTAAAAAAATCACATAAAAAATATATTGTTTCTCAATTTTTGGTGAAGAACAATTTTAATCGAAAAGAATATGAAATCACACATTTAATTACTTGAGTGTCGAATTAAGCGAAAGCAGAAATTCAAATTTTATTTTTTAATTCCCTTTGCTTTTAATTTATAAAAGATAAATGCCTTACTTGCTTTGTTCCTTTTCTTATTAGTCTAGACATGGATAAATACATTGTTAACTTTCCTTGACTCCACGTTTGGTCTCAAAGTTAAAAAAAAAAAAAATGAGAAATGCATCGTAAATATGCATTAATTTATTTAATTTATCTTATATGTTATTAATAGGCAAATGTTTCAACCAGAAGGTTGTCTTATCCAGGCATGTCTATCCACCCTGGGTGGTGGAAAAGAATATGATACCCTCTTTCTTTGGACCTTGGTGAAATTTGCATTTTATTTAATTTGAGATTTCACTATGAATACAAAACTGTACAGTTAAAAAAAGCTTTACAGCACTGTTGATAATTTTATAAAGAAGGTGATAGCAAAAGTTTACAATTTCGCAAACTGGTGAAATAATTCTTTACATTTTTAAGCAGATCAACTCATCAACTCCAGAGATTGTTGAATACAAAATGAATGTCAGACGGCGTATAGATATTTGTTTAGTCATAATTCCAAAAAAATCATTTTTAATCATGTGTTGTGTAATGGTGGTGGGTCAATGCTTGTTGGAAACTACTATGTGCAGCAGCAGTCTAATGGCTTTGTTCATTCTAAGGCTAATAAGTAACAAAATCAAGATCAATATTTAAAACACTCCTTTACTCAACAATAAACTCCACTGCGTGGCTTTATTCCTTCCACTTCCACTAACTCTGCAACTCACTAACTACCAAAAATCAATTACAACGCACAACATCATCTCTCATATCCCCCAAAAACATCACCAATACAAACCAATATAGCAACAGCTACACAAATAATCTCAACTCCAAATACGCTCACTAACAAATCAAGTATACAAAACACAAACCGTAACACCCACTCATTCAACAAATGTCTCGGGCTCATGTTTCAAAATTGTGGATTAGTGTCCAATCTCCAGCGAAGCCAGAGGTTGTTTTGTTGTTTTTTTTTAAATGGCTGTATGTTTTGCTTTCCCACACTAGTTTTGTTAAGTGGAGGGCTTTCGCATGCGGCCCCCGAGCCGTAGTTTGGAGACCCCTGGTTTAGGGAAACGAACATTTTATCAATGTAAAAACACATGAAATCTAAAGTACTTCTCTAGCGTAGAAGTTAGCCGTCAAAGAACACATTTAGTCACAATAATGGTTTAATTAATGATCCTTTATATTCGGTAGTTTAAATTTAAGGTCATGTTTAGAGAGCAAAAATGCAGCTTAGGGGCTCAAAAAGAGGTGGCGTAGACGTATAATTACAGTATATAGCAGTAAAAAAAAAATCGTCTCATAACGTTCAATGATGTTAGAAACGTAAACATCATTACATAGATACTTCTTTTTAAAATAAGGATGTGTGATAAATTTTCCCATAAACAGGTAAAAATTATCACAAAGTGCCTGCCATTATTTTCTCAAAAACATCGGGTGATATTTTTTAGTGTATAGGCTACGAATGGGCTACGCTGACCATGACGCTAAAAAATCGAATTGATCTCAAAATGTCTGTTTCTTAAAAACAATGATAGGGAATTTTTATTATTTTAAGGAAATCGAATACATTAAAATATGCTAAAAATAAATATACCTGCTTTTATTTATGTATATGCAAATTTTTTTATAAAATAAGTTTATTATTATAAATTAGAATTAAATTTAATATGACAATTAAGGATATAATTAAATTAAATTTATGTTAATTTCCCAATTTAGAATGAGGCAAAATCATATGGCATTTGTTAGTCAATAATAGTATCATTATCATCTATGAATTACTGTTATTAATGTTCATATAAATCAGATTAAAAATTATCATATTATGATTAGGCCTATAGAGTATACATTTTAAGTATTTAAATCAATGTGAGTTGACATGAAGGTTTAAGAGAAATTCTTTTGTCACGGCAACTGAAGTTAAAAGTAAAGAGTGATTATTTTAGTCTCATAATTCGTAGACAATTGGGAATACTGAAAGAGGGAAATATTTATTTTGTTCTCAAAATATCTTTCGAAGCTCATACTAAACCACCCAAGATAGATGTTGAACAATAAAAGTAATCGATGGAGAAATGATTTAATAGCAAAAGGAGAAATGTATAGCTATAGAAACTGTCTTATCTGAAACTTCTGAAATAGATTCTAATACTGCTGTTATATTATTGGTTAATAAAATAATACTAGCGACGGTGACCATGGTAACGATCGGTAAATGCACCCATAGTTGAGGTCAGATATAATTAAAATTTATTCTTTGAAAACACTGTTTTGTTTCTTTGTCTTTATCTTTTCATGATTGTAAAATTTCATTCAGATTTTTACAGTGAAATAACGTGGAAAATGTGGGGTGAGGTGAGGGGAGCTAACATTAGTAACTATGAATTTCTGTTTTTAGGTTTCAAGAGAGATTAAAAAAACAATACAATGGAGAAGGACACACGTTGACTTCGTTTTCAACAAATAGAAAAAATGAATAAATATTTATTTTTTTAATATACGACACTAAGAAATGATTATTTTTTTTTCAGAGAATGTAGAACATTCTGTGGTAACATTTGAGGTAAACATTTGAATGTTTATGTTATAGTGTAGACACGTATCAAAAAGTGAGCGATAGCAACATAGTGGTCTTAACATCCCTGAGCTGATTTGACCAATGAGTTTTTGTTTAAAAAGTAATAAAATATCTGTTTGTAGGAGGTAGCGATGCGATTTTAGATTTTTCTCCAGACAGAACAAATCAAGACACATCAGACACATAAGACACATACCGGCTGGGGCGTGTTTGAAAAGTAGAGAAGTATCTCCAAGAACAAATCAAGGAACATACTGGCTAGGGTGTGTTTGAAAAGTATAGAAATATCTCCAAGCTCAAATATGTTACCCACTTGGAGTTTGGTCTTTAGATTGTCTTAAAACTGTTTTTAACCTTTTCATAAAAACACATTTCAAGTGGAGAAAAGACGGTGAGTATAATTTATGTAGATGACTACCTTTGAATCCGATGATGTTACAGTCATGAAATAGAAGTTTTAGATTTGATTTCAAAATAAATGAATATATGTTATAACAATTTAAGAAAATACAGTCAACTGGTACATTTGCATAAGTTTACACATTTCACAAAAATATTGGAAATGGAAAATAGAGGGTGCTGTTTTGTTTGCAAGTAAGAAGATTCATGTTTTTGTTTTTTTTTAAGTTTTAAAAGGTGCAGTTCAGGGGCGATGATAAAGATGGGCACACGTTTATTTTGATAAACAAAATGTGTTTATTAGAAATGTGTTGTAAATATTTCTTGAAACTACAATTCAAGTGTGAAAGGAAGAGCGTGGAAACATTTTTATGTGGATAAAATATTAGAACAAAGTCATTTACACACATGAAAATCTAGTCTTCAAAAGAGAGCCACATATCTTTCCTTAACATTTCTTGAGTTACACATTTGAAAAGTATAGTAAAAATGTATGGATTACACATTTCTTTAAAAGTATGAAAATATATTTTGTTTCAATTTTGCGAAAAATTAAGTTAATTGAAAAGTGGATGCAAATTTTTTATGAGATTAATAATATTTCTTTTTCAAAAAGAAAAGAAACTCAAGGCTGTTATGAATG